CCCTGTAGATGGACCTGCTGTCAGTGTCGTTATGGCGTGTAAGTCACCACCCTGGCACATGAATCCTGGAATAATTCTGTGAACGCAGGAACCCTTCTGTCCTTTCTCTCCAGTGTTCAGATCACAAAAGTTTCTGTCTTTGGAACTTTGTCTGCAAACAGCTCCAAGGAGACGCGGCCCAAGGGCTCACCATCCGCAGCAATGTCGAAGAGCACAGTGGGGTTGGCCATGGCTGCAGCAAAAGATGACAAGGGACAGCAGCGTCTGCAAAGCCTGTATGTTAAATTTTATTTCTTTTATTAAAAGGGCAGCTTCTGGTCACTGGGATCAGCTGGAAGGGTAAGGATCTATTCCCAGTGAGGCTCCTGGCTTTGGGAGGAAGGGGTGAGTGGCAAATTCTCAGCACTCTGCATCTTGGCCACCAGAGAAACCTTAGACAGACAACAGGCCATGGTGGCCCATTGCTTCCTGAGGAACATTTGGGACGTATGTGTGCTAGCAAGCACATCCTTGCTGATCTGACTCATCACATGCAGCAGCTTTGTTTGTGAGGACCGTGGCTCACAGATGTTTTCCCTGCCAGGAAACCTGTGGTGGCTCTCAGGAGTCCTGCCTCAGGAGCTGGTTCTGAATCAGGCTCTGCTCCTGGAAGTTCCTGCAGAGGCCAGAGAAGGGAGGATGGAGGAAGGGAGGAAGAAGGAAAGGAAGGAAGGAGAGAGGGGAAAAGGGAGGAGGGAAGAACAAGGAGGCTCTAGGGTCAAGAATGCCACAGCTTTCCCAATTCCTTGGGCCATTTTTTTCAGCAACCATTTTCTGAGCACCTCCAGGGGCCTGCCCTGGGTGAAACTCTCCCTATGGATCTGCTTTCTACAGTCTCCTCCAGGCCTGGGTATGGCTGTGTCCTGCTCGCCTTATTCCTCAGTGTGATGAGGGACCCTACAAACGCCTGTGTGGGACGAGGCGTCTCAGCTGAGTAGGTGCTGTATGGTGGCGTCTGGGAGAGCTCAGGGCCAGTGCTCAGGGTTCCTGAAAGGTTTCAGGGGGACAATGGCACCCTAGTTTCTCTCCTCAGGGAACTCATCTGGAGCCCAGTGTCAGGGCACTCTCCTGCAGAGCAGTTAGACACATCAAGATCATTCTGGGAGCATCAGGCCATGTCCCTGATTCTGGTCTCTTCCCCTCATACTGGTGTCCTGGGGAGGGCCCAAGGCCCTCAGCATAGCTTCTCATCTCTCCCATGTGCTCCCTGTCACCTCCTGGGCTCCGTGGCTCAAGTCCCTGGGGTCACACGAGGTCTCCAGCTTGGGAGATGGTGTCACTCGAGGTCTGGGGCTACTACCATTTCAAGGTCTCCACAGAGCTAGCACGGGCCTGACCACAGCTCTGGTTCGGCATGTTGGTCACAAGCCCAGAGGACCAGTGTTTGGTGGTAACAGGAGACTCTGGCTGTTCTCCCCGGTTACCCGCCTGGGGGTCCCCTACTCCTGCGGAGAGGGCTGTGGCACTAGTTTGCCAAACAGCCAGGGAGGTACAGGTTGGCCCGTGGCTGGAGTGCAGTCCAAATTTGGGTGGGAGTCCAAGTCGGATTGAGAGATGCCTGTGTGTAGCAGCCATTAACTACCAGGTAACAGATTTGATTAATTTTGTGCCTGGAGGTTTTTTAGGCCCCCCCTTTTCCTAAAGAAATCAGAGAAAACAAAATATTTTTCTAATTAAATAAATCTACGGTGCTCGCTAATGGAGCCCGTCTGTGGGCTTGTGACAGGGCAGGGGGAGCTGTGGAATAATGATTTTATTTTTTCATTAAATAGAATTATAGGCAGTTACTCAAAGCAGCGCTGAGCCTAATTGAAAGAAACCCATTTCTTCTTAATTTACTTTCACGGTTTTGGATGATAAAAGAGTGTGTTCGTTGGAAAATTAAATAAAAAACACAACACAAGGAAAGGGCCCTGTTTAGGTGAGTTATTTTCTCCCCTGTCCCCAGGCTCAGGTGAGGAAAGGGAGACACAGACTGCGGGGGCCCTTCTGGGGGCCAGCAGCAGCAGGGAGATCCCGAGTCCACCCCGAGTTCCTGGGGTGCTTCCAGCCGTGCCGGGCCAGCAGGGGCTGACCCACTGCTGGCGTCCAGCTTGGGCCTCTGTCCTGCTTCTCTGGCAGATGGACCACCTATTGGAAGTGGTAGGCATGACCTCGGGCCTGAAGTGTGGGGCCGTGGAGTCAGGCCTGGAAGCAGATGGGCACCCGGCAGCCAAGTATCCACTGAGCGCTCCCACCCCTGTGCCTGTGTGTCTGTCCTGGCTGTGCCCTCCACAGCCACAGTTGCCATGGCTCCCTTCTTCCAGGTAGCCCTCCTGGGTCAGCGCCTCTCCTGTATTCATCTCCCAGCTCTTTGTGGGCCCCAGTCACAGGGCAGCCAAGGTTACCCGCCATCCGGAGTGGGTGGAATACGTGCCTGAGACAGAGCCTAATCACGGACAGGACAAGGCCGTGCGTGCCGACTGTGAGCGCTCTCTTTTCTAACCTATGAGGAGGCTTCTGAAGGGCTGCTCCAGGCCGAGGCCTGCTCAGTCCCGGACAGCAGTGTGTGATAATTCCTGGATCCCTGGCCCTCCTCAGGCTCTCAGGGCTTTCTCACTTCAACTTCCTTGCAGAGTCTGTACCTGACCCCCTGTCTATGCCCTAGGGTCGCCTCTGGGTGAGGTCCTAGCTGATTCCATGGGGGCTGCAGCTGCTAAGGTCTGTTTCTATTTACAGCTGTTGTTGCTTTTTATACCAACTGCTTCCCAGGAAGGGCCGGTGGCCTAGACAATGTCTCCATCTGTGATGGCCTCCAGGGTTCGCAGTGCCCCCTGTACTCGCTCTTCCAGCCTGCCATAGCCGAGGCCCTGTTCCCTGAGGTGGTCCAGTCCTCCCGCAGACTCTGAGCATGCCCACTGGGGTCTCAGGCTGGGGAGGCTCCTCACTCAGGCTGGTCTCTGCTCCTTAAAGGTACTTACTAAGTAGCTGTTCATATGGGGCCGAACCCCAGGCACTCCTGGGCCCCTTTCTTTTCCCACAAGCCAGCTCAGACACCTCACTGACCAAGTGGCATTCCTGGCTATTTGGGGAGGGTTCCAGCAGGGTCTGGGCTCAGCAGTGGTGGTGCAGCCACCAATTAGTGATGCACAGGGGTACGAGTGGGAGGCATTTGCCATCTGCTGACAGGTTTTATTTTTAATTTTGGCCATAGTTAGAACGTGCCCTCTCCAAAGTCCAAGTGCTGAAACACAGTCAGCAGGATGGAGCTCAGAGTGGCCTGTAAGGAGAAGCTGGGGGACAGGGCCCTTCTCCCAGCAGTGGGATCCCGATGATCCCAGAGCGTTCCCGTGCTGCCCTTGCCCCTGCTGCTGTCCGTGAGATCAAGGACAGCTTCCTCCTGGAAGACACAGCACTCCAGTGCTGAGCCGGCAGCACCTTGGTCTAGACCAGGCCATCTTAAAAACCTTCTGCTTGTGGCTCCTTCTCCTCTAAGAAGTTTTTATGTGACCCTGGAAATATAGGTATGTAAGTCAAACATTTACAGAGACTAAGCCATAAAGAAATGTCTTTTCATTAATTAATTAATTAATAATTCCTGTCTGCAAGAATAGCAGAATATTATTAATAGTGTCAGGGGTGGGGAAATATGTTGTTTTAAAACAATTCTTTGGGATGAATGTGATTTTAGTATACATGAGGTAGGTGCGTTGTTCTTCTCTCTCTGTGGTGTGTGTGTGTGTGTGTGTGTGTGCATACGCCCATGTGCATGTTTGTAGAGAGGGCCCCTCATGTCCTGCTCTATCACCCTCTGCCTTATTCCCCAGAGGCAGGGTCTCTCCCTTAACCTGGAATGATTGTGAGAGGAGGCTGGCTGGCCAGTGAGTGCCATAGACCCTCCTGTCTACGGTCCCCCAGCAATGGGGTTACAGGCACACGGCCACACCCAGCCATGTACGTGGGTGCTGGGACCCGAGCTCAGGTCCTCGCACTGTGTGGCAGGAGCTCTTACCCATAGAGCACCCCTCCAGCTGCCTGCTTACACAAATCTTGGCGGGGCGTTCACTGCTGCAGGACACAGAGCGTCATCAGCGTCATCCGGAGTTACTTGATGGACTCTGGGTCTGATAGTCCTCAGGGCTGAGAACTCACCCTGCATAAATGTGCAGTAGAAAATGGCAGAACCTTCAGGCTCCATTCAGAAGTCGATAGAGAGTCTGGCCCAATCCTAAGCCAAAACTCATTGAATGCTTTCCCCTTTCCCCCCCAGGAAGCTCAAGGCATCAAATCAAACAGCGACATTTAAAGTCAAACACTAACACAATTCAAACCAAAGACACACTGATTTGATACTTAATATTGAAAGTTCCCACTCCTCCCCCTCTTCTGAGACACACTGACCGCTAACTTCCTATGTAGCTGAGGCTGGCCTTGTACTCCTGATCCTCCTGCCTCTACCTCCCAAGTTCTGAGCTCACAAGTATGTCTCGCCACTCTCAGCTTACCGTCGTGTTTCTGCACTGGCGGAAAGCATTGTCTGTGGAGTGAAAAATGCTGAGTCCCAGCATCCAACAGTTCTAACCTGAGCTGAGACATTTCAGGACCATCCCTGGCTATGCATGCAGGGATGGCACAGAAGTGCAGTGTGCACAAGGCTGCACCGAAGCCATGGATGTGGCATGAGCAAGCACGCCCGAATCACCTCGGGTTCAGGGCACATTTGATTCTGAATTAACTTTTAGTCATTTTGCGTCACTGTTGCCAATTCTTTTGTGACCCCACACTGTGAGGCAGGGTTGGGACCTCCAGCCTAAGAAGCTGCGACCTGGGCGGCGGCCCTCCAGAACCTATAGAGAGGAGCCCTCCCACAAGCCACCAGGCCTGGTTTGTGGCTCTGATGGGCCTCGCCAGTGTGACAACCACAGCACCCCAGCAGCGACCATCCACTTCGCTGACTCAGACGATAGACTTGTTGACCAGCACTGAGCATCCTCAGCTGAGCAGCATCCTCTCAGGGAGGATGGAGATGCGGCAGCATGGCAGGTCTGAGGAGCCAGGACAAGGAGAGCCTGTGGCTGGCCTCCAAGCGGCTTTGGAGGCTTGTCCAGCCGTCTTGCCAGGGTAGCGGGGACTCTGCTTGTTCTGAGCCCCCTCATCAGCAACTCTTCAACCCCCTCTACTCTGTTGGCATACTTTAAAAATTTTTTTTTATTTATGTTTCTTATATTTTTTTCTCCCTACTCCACCCCAATCCCTTCTAACACCCCAACATCAGGTAGGAGGGAGAAAAGGTGGAGTAGGGAGATAGGGCACAATTTTCTTAGCTGCTTCCTGCTGGTTAGGGTCCTCGGGTTCCTTGGAGCCAGGCCAATCCTTGTTTCAGGAGATCTCCATCATCTTGTCTCACAACAGCAACCAGGAGCAGCAAGGGGGAAGCAAGAGCAGCTTTGTTCTTTTTCTTATCTCTACATTCTCTGGGCTCTGGCATTTATCCTCTTTCCAGAGTCCTCAGATTTAAACTGTCTGCAGCTGGCAAAGAGCGTCTCTCAGAGCCCACATGAGGCAAAGAGTCTGCTGCTGTGACCATCTGAATCAGCCCCACATCCCACACCTGGGATTGAAACAAAAACACCTTTATATCCTCCACAACACTCCCCTGTGCCTTCTACGGGGAGGGCACAGTCCTGCACCCGGGTCAGTGCGCCTAAGCGATAAGAAAGACCCTCATTTCCCATAGCACCATGACACCCCACTTTCTCATTACACAACCAGCCTTTGTCCCAGTCCCACTTGGGCACTGAGCTGTGAGGACCCTCTCTGGGTGTTGGTGCCCCCAACTCATTTGCTCATCCTCCCAGGTGGCTCCCCCTCCCCCTCACCTTTCCCAGAGGGGCAGTTCGGACATTCAGTCTCCCTGGCCAGCTACGGGTGCTCGCCTGGGGCATGATGAATGGGAGAGCACTTCTGCAGAGAGCTGACAAATGTCCCTCTTTCTCACAGGCTCTCTTGGAATCCTCTAATGCTCCTGAAGGTGAAGGTCCATTTTTCGCTGTAATCACAGTATTAAACTTTAATATCCAATATTAATAAAACATACTCTCCCTGATAGAGCCCGCAAGGCAGGGGGCGAGTGTGCTGAGGACACTTCCCCCTGCTGGGCTGGTGCCGGGGCAAGGGTGCTGGGAGAGGAGTGCTGAGGGGCTGTCTGCTGGCCCACATTTTCAACCCAGGCTTTTGTGAATGTGGGCAGGAGCGTTGGGCCTCATGGCAGGGGGTGTGGCCCCGTGACCTGCAGCAGGGGGTGAGCAAGACCAGCGTCCTGAAGCAGCCTGGTCCCCGCTGAGGGCCCCACGGCAGGAGGGTGAGCCCTGGGGCCTGTCCACTGTGCCTCAGCCCTGCTGGCCTGATCAGCCATGTGGGGCTTGCTGGGCTATGCTCTGCTAAGCTGGGATACTTCTAAGGTGGGAGAGGAGCCAGTTGCTGTTACCCAGGACCCTGAGCCACCCAGGAACCCCCCTCCACTTCCCTGTCTGTCTCACCTGGCCTTTGCTCAGGGGACACCTGTACGCCATGCTTTCCTGTGTAAACCCTGTCCAACCACTCAGGGTCTCCCCAAGTGCAGGGGACAGTGGCATGTGATCTCTGGAGCTGACCTTCTTGAGGGCTTAGGCGCCAACTTCCTTGCTCTGAGGTGTGGTTTGTGCAGTCTGAGGAAGCTGCCTGCCCTGTGGTCAGGGCACCAGGCAGTGGAGGAGACAGATCTAATGAGGAAAGTGCAGTTCTTATTGGCATTTGCCATCTGCAGCTAGGAGCTAGGTGGCACCAGGGCTGGAGTAGCCAGTAGGCACTGTGGGTCACCAGAGGCTCCGAGGTGGCAGTGCATGCCATCTTGATTCCCAGGTTCCTTATTTATACACTTGCCTATTGGCCAAAAGCTGTCTGTGGTCCCCACCCCAGTTCTCTGGGCACAGTGAAGGTCATTCACAGACAACCGAGGGCGGTGACAAGTCTGAGTCCCCATAGCTCATTTTCCCGGGTGAGGCTCTGCAGTCATGTGGTCTGCACACAAGCAGCAGTTTCCAGGTCTAGGGGGTGGCCTGCGGTTTGCATTTTTATGCTCTTCTAAAATGGCCCCCAGGGCTCGGGTGGTGGCTCAGTGGACAGGGCACTTGCCACATGGGCATAGGGACCAATATCCGGCTCCCTAGCACCCACGCAAAAGCTGTATGGAGATGGAGGCCTGCCTGTAACCCCAGAGCTCTGCTGTAAAGATGGGTTCCATGTGAGATCCCAGATGATGGTCCCTCAGGCCTGGGTGTCCTGTGGGCTGATCTTGGAGAGATCAAGAGCTGGAGAAACCCTAGATCCCGAAGCTACATTTGACACCCCATCAATTTGAAGTGCCAATCCACCTCTGTCTAACCACCTTTGGGAGAGGGGCAATTATATCTTCTTTTGGAAGGAGCCATGAGCAGAAGAGTCGTGCTTCTTCCTCTGGTTCCCTGTGGATCCAAGACAGAACAACGTGCCTTCACAGTCTTGGCCTCCACTTACCCTTTTCCCTCAGATTCTGGCTTTTCATGGGTATAAGTAGGTACCCTTAGTGATGTCTGCACAGGCAGCAGCAGAATGTCATGGTTCCTGACGGGCATCCTGCTGGGATGAGTCCTGAGCTAGCCCACTTCAAGGTGTCCAGACCTCTCCCCTGGGAGTGATTTACATAAAGGGGGGGTCACATCCTATCCCCCACCCACATCCCTGCTGCCTGCCAGGAAATGGGGGGGGCTTGGCTGCTAGCTGCTGCTGTGATCCTCTCCTTAAGAGGTACAGGAAGCCCCTTCCTCCATTCCATGGGCTCTGAGGCTCTTCAGGGACACCCATGGCCTCCTATGCAGCACACTGTTGTCTCTGGTGTTGGTCCCAGGTGCCCCTGCATGCTAGTGTCCCTCTGTCTGTCCATGCTGTTAATAATTCTCTTAAGAAATTCTTGATTCTTTAGTAAAACATCTCTGTGTCCTCTTGAACCAGCAGCCCAATCCAGAGTGTAACAGGGAGTACAGGGCGGAAATGAAGAGGAGAATCCAGGCTCTCTGGGATGGCAGGTGTCTGCTGAGGGATCAGAGTCTGAGCAGCTGCTGCCCACCAGCCCAGAGGTTGGGGGTGGGGTGTTGAGTGGGTCTTCCAGAGCTTCCTGGAGAGGAATTGGTTTGCCAGGACAAAGGGGTTTTGCTGGTAGTGTGTAGGGGCTGGGGCAGGGCTGGGGCAGGGCTGGGGTAGAGGTGGGGCAGGGCTGGGGCAGGGCTGGGGCAGGGCTGGGGTAGAGGTGGGGCAGGGCTGGGGTAGAGGTGGGGCAGGGCTGGAGCAGAGGTGGGGCAGGGCTGGGGCAGACCTTTACAGAGGTTGGCTGTGGCTTAGCAGCGCCCCCGAAGGAGAGTGTGCAGGAGGAGAAGCAAGGCTTTGTCACCTCACTTTGAATCCCAGCTGGCCTTTCCTTGGCAGTCCCTGTGTCCACCAGGCCCAGAGTGACAGTGTGTAGAGACTTCCACAGCTGGACTTCCTCCTGGACAGACCCAGGCTTTGTGGCTCTGAATGTGGGCCCTGGATCAGGGGTTCCGAATTAAGATCAGAAATCCAGGTATATGAGGCCTTATTCTGGTGGCTTGACTGGTTGGTGGGTGGGCACAAGGGTGGGACCGTGGAGGGGCACAGTCATCAGGACACTCCCTGGAACCCGAGAATCACCTGGTAAAACTCCTGAAACACCTGAGTGTGAGCTCTTGTCTGAAGCAGCCTTCTGGTCATTGTCTGAGTTCCCATGCCTGCTGAGACAATGCCCACCACCAGCCTGGGCTACACAGCAGCCAGCCCAGCCCTGCAGATAAAACCCATGGACTCACTGAAAACTCTGCCCGGAAACCCTGCTCTGTGGCCATCGTTCTTCCTTCTGGGCTTGGGGCTTCTAGTCTTCGAAGGACACCCCTGGGCCACTGGTCTCAGCCACTGAGGAAGAAGTAATTTGGTTGCCACGTAGCCACTAACGCGAAATTCAAGATTAATGATGATTTCCGCAGAAACCCCATTATGCAAAACATCATCATTTTCTCCTGAAGGGCTTCACTGGGGTCTGGAGGTCCAGGCCCTCATCTCCAGGGCATTATCTGTTAGGGAACTGTGTCAGACATGAGCACAGAGCCCTGGAGCAAGAGAGCTCAGGGAGCTGCGGGAGAAACCCCAGTCCCCAACCGGCTGCCTAGAAGCAGCAGCAAGGTGCCTTTCAAACCTCGCCGAGACTGAGAAGGGATCAGAACTCGTCAGCGAAGGCACAGAGCACGCTGCACCACTGTAGCCACGGGGCAGATGGACAGACTGAGAACAGACAACCCTGTCCCCTCACCAGTGGCCGCCTGTGCCTCCCGCTGTGACTCAGTGGAGCTCAAGTCCTCTGTGTTGCTGCTGACAGGAAGTCCGCACAAGGCAGGGCAGCTGTGCCGTGGACACTGCTTGGGGAAGGTCACCTTGGGGACAGAGGGCTGTGGGCGCAGAGGGGGCCCTGAAAAACTGAGGCAGGAGGGAAGAGAGTAACCCTGTGCGTCCACTCACGGTCTTAGTCACTGCTCTGTCGCTGGGAAGAGACGCCATGACCAAGGCAGCTCACAGAAGGAAGCATTTAAAGGGCTGGCTTTCAGCTTCCGAGGTTCAGTCCATTTTCATCACCCATGGTGCTGGAGCAGCAGCTGGCAGCTGTACCCTGATCTGCAGGCTGAGAGTGAGCGAGCCTGGGCCTGGCCTTTGAAACCTCAAGGTTCACCCGCAGGGACATACTTTCTCCACCGCGGCCACACCTACGCCGACAAAGCCTCACCTCCTGACCCTTTCACGCTCCCAGCTGCCCAAGCATTCAAATGCACAAGCCTGCAGAGCTGTTCTCATTCAAACCACCACACTTGCAGAAGAGCAAAGTGTGCAAGTCCCCTGCCCATTTTGATGCACAGCTGAAGAAAGGCGGCCAGGAGTCTGCGGCCGCAGGGTGTGCCCTTCAGCATGCTGCTCAGATAGCAGTTGTGCTTGTACGACCTGCGACTCGCCTACATTCAGGGCCACGCTGCGCCGTTTGTGCCGGGAATGATGAGTTAAGTTAAAGAGCCTTGAGACCATGCTGGCATTCTCCGGGGGGAGGTGACATGGTCCCAGAATAGAGAAAAGAAAAGAGGAGGGGTAAGCGTACAGAGGTGAGGAAGGCAGTGAACACAAGTGTGGAAGTGTGTACATGCTCACCACAGACACCACAACACCGGTCCCACCCACAGCGGCCTCACTGTGGTTTTCAGTTTGCATTTCCCTGATGATTGGTGATGTTGAGTATTTTTTCACACAACTGTTGACCATTCATGTGCTTTCTTTTGAGAAATGTCTGCTCAGGTCCTTCGCCCATTTTTAAATTGGGTCATTTGTTTTCTTGCTGTTGAATTGAGTTTCTTGTGTATGTTGGACGACAGCTCCTTTTCAGATGTGCTGTTAGACTGTTTCTTTACCCTGTGGACCATTTTCTTTGTTTGGCAGAAGTTCCCCCATTTGATGGGATCCTTTTTAGTTGGGTATCTTTAGCTACTTAAGATTTCAGGTTGAAAAAAAATCAATTCGTGTAAATGACTCAGTGTGTAAAGCCCTTGACATGCAAGTTCGAGGCCCTAAGTTCAAGCTGTTGCCCACGGAGTTCTCTGAGAACATGCTGGCTCACCTGGCTTTTGTGACTGTCACGCTACAAAAAACAGGAAGAGGACCCCCCCCCAGGGGCAGATTCATAATGGTGCCGCTGGCCCATGCTCCCCTAGGCTCAGAAGGACGCTGATGGTGATGCCATTGACAGACATTCTGCCTCTGCCTCTGCCTTTGCCTCTGTCTCTCTCTCTCTCCTTGGCTCTCATGTACTGAGCATCTTGGTTCCACCATGAATCAGCAGAGGCCAGCCAGCTGTGGACTGAGACCTCTTTAACTCTTAGCCAAGGATGTCTTTCTTCCTTAAAATAGTTTTTTTTTTTTTTTTGAGGCAGTATTCTGTCACATAATGAAAAACTGACTAACGCAGGTGATGACCTCAGAATGAGGCCACAGGTTCCTCCCTCATCCCAGCCTTGCACCTTGGCTTCACGGTCATGCTCTTCCCATCCTGGTGTCCACTGGGCTGAGCTGCCCAGCTTGAACACCATTGGCACAGTCTTTGCTTCCCTTAGAGGATTGGTATGGTGGCTGAAGTTCCCACAACCTTTCCTAACTGAAGGACAGAGTCCTTGGCTTCTGTCACCAGAAAACCTTGGTGACCTGGGTGGCCACTATGGTATCTGTGTTCATGGGGAAGGGGCCTGCTGGGACTTAGGCTGTCTGGGACAAATCTGAGCTCAATCTCCTGGGAAATCAAGGAAGTCTCCTTGTGCTCCCCCGCCGCCACCGAGAGCCAGTGGTTCTTTTTGGGTTTGTTAAGGACTATTGTTTAAAACTTATAGTCCTGGGAGTTCCTCAGGTTCATCGGCAGCTGACCAATTTGGGACAGCTGGCCACCCCGTGTCTGCCCCACTCTCTATCTTATCTGCTGCTCCGAAGTCATGTTCTGGGGCTCAGACTACTTCAGGCTGGGGAAGGAGGCCACTCTGTGCCAGCCAAGCCTGTGTAGGAGGCATTTGCTTAGCTGAGTCTTTCCTGTTCTTTGAGAGTTAGCTGGACCATATCCTCAGGGCCCCCATCTGCCCTCTCAAAGTGTCACTGCTGGCCCATGCTTTCTACTCCCTGCTGCTTTCTCTCAGGCCTGCTGGAGAAACTCAGGTGGGAGAGGCAGAGACTAGCTTCCGTCTGTAGTGTTCTGTGGGCTCCTGGGTCTGTTCTGCTACCACAGTCGCCAGGGAGTGGATAGTTTTCCCCTCAAGGCAGCAGTGCTGTGCCCCAGCTGGGAGCATCAAGCCCGCTGTGCCTAGGGTGGCCTGAAGTGAGTCTTAGTTTTGCACTGGAGTCAGCACTAAAGATGGGGTGAGGCCCCTGCCACCGCCCTGTCAGCTTGTCCTGCCTAGATGCTCCCTGGTGAGGCCACAGTCTCATGTCTCAGCTGGTTGGTGCCATCTCTCCAGCTGCAAGGCTCTTCAGTCTTTGGAAGTCATCTGGCCCAGCAGAGCTGAGAATGCTCAGGCGGTGGCCTGCCGTGGCGTGGCTCTCTTACTGCCTTTGCCCTGGCAGCCACCACAGAGACCCTTCTTCTAGGCTTGATTTGAACACTGGACAAGAGGTATCCAGATGGCGGTCTCCCATAGCTTGGTGCTGCAGAGGGGATGGAGATCTGGGAGGGACAGAGGGTCTCGGCTTCTGTGAAGACACTGTGTTGTGTGTCTGAACTGTGCACTGCCAGCTCAGAGGTTAACGTGCCTGTCAGGGTGTGAGCCCCTCACTCCTGGGGGTAGGATAGCCTGCAGGGCTTTACTTCCTGGTTTTTGTTGGTGTTGTTTGTTTGTTCTTGGCTATGTCATCGAGACATCATTTACATATTAAAATTAGCCCATTGAAATGCATTTTATTAGGATGGCGGATAGAAGGACAAACAAACTCCAAGCAGTAAATATTAAGTGTAGACGGGCTGTAGGAAAATCAGATCTCCTTCACAGTGCTGAGGGAGATGCCAGCAGAGCTGCCACACATGTGCGCCCGAAATGCTGCTCTTTGGGCACGCACCCCAAACAGAAGCCTGGACAGGTGCCTTGACAACCATGTCTCAGCAGCGCAGCTTCCAACACCAAACGGAAGAAACAATCTAAATGTCCCTGAAAAATGACACCATGTGTTTTCATAGACAGATTTTTTTTGCACGTGTGCACTGCTGTGAGCGTGCACACTGGCCCGCGTGAGTAGGCCAGAGGTCAGTGTTCTTCTATTGCTTTCCGCCTTGGTTTTTGAGATAGAGTTCGTTTGGGGCTCTCTCACTTGGCTGTGCTGGATGCCCAGCGAGCCCCAGGGATTTTCCTCCTACCTTCCTTCCCCCCGACAGTGCCACCATGTCCAGCTTTTACATGGGTGTTGGGGGTCAGACTCAGGTCTGCGTGGAAGCACATGAGTGCCCCCTCTCCCCGCAGACTTAAAAGCGTGGAAGCTTGGGCACCGGTCGGTTCCGACTCCCACCTGGTCAGCCTTTGGGGGCGCATTTCCCTGCCTCCCTCCTGCAGTTCTGGTACTTGGGCCCAGATGTCTCCATTAACTAATGATTATTTCAGTTTCTCTTAAAAAAAAAAAATTAATCAGAGACATCCCGAGCTGCCAGTCTGAGGTTTGATCAGCCACGATAACCGGCGTGCCGCACAGTGCTGGTGGGGTTCCAGCCCGGAGCGCGGAAACTTGACATTCTCGACAGCCTGGAAATGTAGGATTTCCGTTTGCCTTGTAACGCGGAGCCAGCTCGCGGGACCCCATCTCCCGCTCTGCAGCCCCCAGCAGGGGGCTGGCTGCGACCATATGGCTTGGCAGTGGGGCGAATGCGCTCCCTGGGTGCCCCATCTCCCGCTTTGCCCCTCCAAGACGCTTCCCGGGCCCCCTCTCGGCCCCCCAGCCTGCAGGTTGCAAGCGGAGGCCCCGGGCTGGCGGCCCCGCCCCCCGCCCCCTGCTCACCGGTTCTGCGCTATCGTGCCCCTCTATCGCCTTTGTGCGAAACGTAACCCACAAAATGCTTTCGTGGTAACCTTATCCATCGGCAGCCAGCGATAGCATCTCGCGGCCCGTGACGGGCAGGAACTCGAAAGCATGGAGTTAATAACGCAGACTTTCAAAAAATGAGGCTGGCAGAGGGAGACGAGGGCGGGAATAAAAGAGGCCGGTGTGGTTGTAATTGGGACCATGTGAACTTCCTTGGAGGAGGATTAGGAGGAGAGACAGGCCTTGCCCGCGAAGATTAGTTTCAATTAGATGGGCTGGAGGCGAAAGGCCGGGCTCGGTGAAAGATTAAAACAAGAAGGAGA